GTAGAAATACTCCTAGTCGCTTCATGCTACAGAAACCGGGATAAGCTCCGGCCTGATGGGCCACTTGGCTCGTATGCAGACTTTACCTTTACCTACCTATTAAGGGCTAACTTAATGTGATATTTGCTGGCTTGTTCATTAACAAACAAAATGCTTAGATGAAGGAAAAGTTAACATTGTACTCGTTAATGGTGTGCCAAATTTCATTGAAAAAAAGCCTGGTCATAGTTGGCGGATAATAAGTCGAGAGAGGAAATGGAAAGAAAATCAGATTTTCTTGTTAAATTCGCAGCAGCTAAAACTGAGCAAATAAACGTTATTTCTTTTGTCTTTTTGAACCTTGCAGAGTTCATTCCTTCCAACCATGGCCGAGGACAGCTTTCTTGAGTGCATCAATGTCATTGCTGAAACTATGAAAGGAACTGGTTGGGTCGGAGAGTGGTATGGTGAGTGTTTCAGATTTAAACCTTTTTAGCTTTCACCTGTTGTCATTGTGGAGACGACCCGTCCTGTTGATTCTTGTGACTTGACTAAGTTTCTTAACCCGAAGGAAGAAGACGGACCGGACCTGCGAGAGATGATTCTCTTATTTCACTTGTACTTAGATTATCATTAGTAGTAAAATAAAAAAATGTAACTGAAATCCAAGCTAAGGTACTGGTGTAAATTAGCTTCACTTTGACCTTACGCAAATTTTAGTGGACTATATCTGACGTCGCAGAGTTTTTGATTACTTACCTTTTAGTGATTCAAAAAAACACCCCATAACCAACAACTCTGAATACACAGTGTTACAAATTTCGTATTTTACGCAGGCTTTTTAACACTTACAGTTACAGGTGTATCAAAACTTTCCATATTTTCTCGCTTACCTTTTCAGAGTGCGGAAATTGCAGACATCCGTATTTTATTGGGGAGGTTAGTGCTGGTTATTCAGAAACTACACGTGCCTTGTTTTATTTACATAGTTTTGTTCTTTATGATCACTTGTTATTTCAGTTATCGCATTTTTCTGTATTAGTGTCAACAGCCGATGCAGAAGGGCACGTGTCCCGACTGCGGAAAGGTAATGGGAGGAGAGCAGCACAAGTTCCTAGGAGAGTACAAGGTTTCTGACAGGTAACGTGAAACGTTTTTATTCTTAGCAATTCGATAACCAAGAAACTTCTTCTTTCATTTTAAAGTATAACAGAACTAAATTACCTGTATGACCCATTTCAGTAGTTTTTAACTGACTGCCACGTTTAGGAGGATTGTAACATTTTTCTTATTGTTCAATTCCTAGAAAAGACAGAACGAAGACCGGCCACGCGCTGGGAGATGCTGGTTCGAGACCTACTTGTGCTGAGCCGCAGAGAAAGATGTCACCGATAGTGTGCGGTCTCCTGCGAATTATCATGCACTCGGCCATGGTCATGGGAGCATGCAGAGATGCTCCGGTAAGTAGTTTGACATGAGGGGACTTTTTTTCTCTGATGCTAAGATTGAGTTTGGCGAAGGTTGGTTATCGAGGTGTTTTGATGTTTTTGGTTTCAAAAAGTGTGGTTGAAACTACAAAGTCAAGTAACACATCATCATCGTCCTCATAAGCCAAATCCTAAGGTACAAAATTTAAGAGTTTCGTAGCTCAGCAAAATCAGCATCTTTATGCCAAGGGTTGTTTTAGAACCGATGTCTTTAAATTCTCATTTTTTGATCGCGTTGACGGTGGATTTATGAAACGGCCTGCCTGTAGCTATTGGGACAATTGGTCAATTATCATTATTGAATAAGAAATTGAATCAGTTTTACATTAGTAAATTTAACTTTTATAGTTTACTGATCACTTATTGTTGTTGCGATTTGTCTATATACGTATTATATGTCATTTATATCTTATCTCAGGCAGCTTATTTAAAATAAAGAATCTAGAATTCTGAATAAACTGGCCTAATTACTGAAATATCTCCTTTTTATACTTGTAAATATATTTAATTCTTTCTTTTATTTTATTTTGATCATCTGTGTAATTGAATTTGAGTAAATAAAGTAAATAAATAAATAAAACCACCAAATACACGAATAAAGACGGCGGGTCTTTTAATATTGCATTTTTGCGCTAATAGAATCTCACAAGAAACACTTATCTGTGAGGAGTATCTCTAGTCTGTGTCGTAAACTTACTATAGTCATCACGTTAGTCATTAAAGCTCAACTGGCTACCTGTCCATTACCGTATAGCTTATAAAATTCGTTTACTGGTCTACAAAGCTCTCAGTGGAGCAGCGCCTTGCTACATCCGTGACTTACTTAATTATTACACCTCTCCACGGGCACTAAGATCGTCTTCTCAACACCCTCTGGCGACCCCAATAGCGAGACTTAAGACTTATGGCGAAAGAACGTTTGCTCTGGCGGCACCAAGACTTTGGAACGCGATTCCACTCGAACTAAGATCTAGTTCTTCAATTGACAGTTTTAAAAGACATTTAGAACATATNGATTGATTGATTGATTGATTGATTTCTTGCTTGTTCGCTCGCTCGATTGATTGGTTATTTGACAATATAGCTTTTTTTACAAAGTTAATTTTGTTTCGTCCCTCTTTCTGCCATCTGTGATCCACAGGAAGTGATCCAGTAGTGCGACAGATGTACGAGTTTGATGCGCACAAAGAGGACTTAACTCAGGGTGTACAACCCATGTCCAAGGCCCTTTGGAAGTACAGAAGGCAAATCACTGTGGAACATCTGGGAAACTCATTCCAACAGCAAGTTCTTTCTGGTGGAGAACAGCAATGCAAAGTGCTGAATGCTTTCCTTAAACAGGTACCACCAACACTCAGACACTTTCGCCAAGATTTAGCTGTTGTGTCTGCAGGGAGAGGTGCATGGGAGGGCGCATCTATGTTGTTGTTGTCTTGAGCTTTACCTTACGGTTACGACCAAATAAGTGCTCATCTTATTTATCAATTTAAAGAAATAACTTGAATCAACGTCAAGCCAGGTTCCTCTTGCTCCCACTCGTTTGCCTCTGAGTGCGCGAAAGGAGTTCCTCGTTCTTGCAGGATATCGGTAAATACCGTTTGCTCTTTAACAATCACAGGAACACAAGTTGCGTTTCGTCCAGTTTCTTCCTGACCTTGTTCGTCTCCAACGTCTGTTGATGGACAGATTTCACAGACGAATAGATAGAACAGATGCTGANCCTTAAGCTAATTTTACAGTCATAATAGTTTTTAGAAGGGAGAAAGACGTTGTTTGAACTTGAATGTGAAATTGATTAACTGATTTATCGATCGATTGATTGATTGATTGATTTCTTGCTTGTTCGCTCGCTCGATTGATTGATTATTTGACAATATAGCGTTTTTTTTACAAAGGTAATTTTGTTTCGTCCCTCTTTCTGCCATCTGTGATCCACAGGAAGCGATCCAGTAGTGCGACAGATGTACGAGTTTGATGCGCACAAAGAGGACTTAACTCAGGGTGTAAAACCCATGTCCAAGGCCCTTTGGAAATACAGAAGGCAAATCACTGTGGAACATCTAGGAAACTCATTCCAACAGCAAGTTCTTTCTGGTGGAGAACAGCAATGCAAAGTGCTGAATGCTTTCCTCAAACAGGTACCACTAACACTCAGACACTTTCGCTAGGATGTAGCTGTTGTGTCTGCAGGGAGAGGTGCATGGGAAGGCGTATCTATGTTGTTGTTGTCTTGAGCTTTACCTTACGGTTACGAACAAATGAAGTGCTCACTCTATTTATCAATTTAAAAAATTAACTTGAATCAACGTCAAGCCAGGTTCCTCTTGCTCCCACTCATTTGCCTCTGAGTGCGGGAAAGGAGTTCCCCGTTCTTGCAGGATATCAGTAAATACCGTTTGCTGTTTAACAATTACAGGAACACAAGTTGCGTTTCGTCCAGTTTCTTCCTGACCTTGTTCGTCTCCAACGTCTGTTGATGGACAGATTTCACAGACGAATTGATAGAACAGATGCTGAGGGCTATACCATCCGGAAATTTCTTCAGGATCTTCCAAGAGGTGCATGCAACAGCTATGTTTTTCTTTTCTCAATTTTCGCTTGTCTCACAAGTTACTCTGTTACTTTCTGGTGTATTACAAAAACAACTGACATAAGCACCAAAGAATCACAATGAAAAGATGGCACCTACATGTTGTACCATTGGCATCTTTCTGGTGAAAAATGAACAATTAAGACTCTTTCACTCAAGGACCGTGAGCAGATGTGAGCAGATGGCCATTGACAAATGACAATCGTGACCAATGACCAAATGACTACCACAGTTAGTCAGGCAACTGTTAGGGGAAAAGTCTATGTTGTAGGAGTAGATTGTGAAGCAGAGACTGACTGGTTATTTGAATGAAATATATCTGTTTTAATTTTAGGATCTGTGAAAGAAGAGTACAGTAAACTGTTCCAGAGTTTTAAGACTGCGTGGAATTCTTGCCGGTCATTTCTTGGCGATCAAGGTAATATAGTTGCCTCTCTCACTCACTCACTCATCCTCGTCGGGCCCATGAGGACTCTTGAGGCCGGAATATAGCTGCCTAGTTATTAGTTATTTCGAAGTTGCATGAAGCAAAACTCGAGTTATTTTTTAACTTCATTCTTCTCAAACTCATTAATAATTCATCAAGTTTAAACAAAGGAATCCATAACGGTGACGGAGTTTGGAAATCTGATCTTAACTAACATTGATTTTTTACATTTTTATTTCCCCGTTTTCTCCTTAGGTTTAGTTTCGATTGAGAAGATATGTCAAACACTCAAGATAGTGTTTGACCACATTTCCAAACACTTCGAACTCTTCGTCAAAAATACTCCGCTGCGCGTCGTATTTTCAACTCTCTCACGATGTTTGGAAATGTGGTCAAACACGGCATTTCGTGTTTCATATATTACTTCTGAGCAAGATATGGCAAACTCTTTAACTTGAGACCTGGGGACAATCTACTTTCCTAACAATCTTCTTTTATAGCCCTGTTCTGTTTCAATGTAGGGCAATAACTCGGACCTCAATGACGCTAGGGTTTAGTTTGCTCAAGGAAAAGTATATGTTCTTAATTTCACTTTGATCTTCGAGGTCGTCTTTGTGTACCGCAAGGCCTTTGTAATACCACCATGGACAACGACTGCCCAATCGCCATGTTGCTCCCCGGCACCGCAGGGATGGGAGTGTGTTCGACTTCGCTCACCTTCTTCTTAGTAAATACGCATAACGAGTTTCTGGGAGCATATCGTAATGCAACTAACCAAGAATGGTAAGCTATTTGTCCTTTCAATCCCGATGCGATGTTCTGTTTATATCTCCATCGATGCAAATGAATCTTTGAGTATTGGCGTGGGAATGATATGGTCAACTCGACGTCTAGATTTCAAAGATTAACACATCTGACTCGAATCAGGCCTGTTCTGGCCAACCAATCATATCTACACCTTATGAGCGTACCAGAAAACATCCTGTGATATATATTAATCGATCAACATGTCATCGAGATCTCATCATCAAATTAAGTTACGTAAAAATAATATTTGAAATTTTTCTGAACCGTGTCCTCTCCTTGGAAATTTTTTGCCCTTAAAAGTAATTTCGCAATAATCGCCCCTATCTACAAACTCTGGAATTTAGCAGGATAAAAAAATCGATAGGAATGAGCAGAAACTCATTAAATGCGTGACACTATGCCGATAAATTAAGAAGGGCTAAGCCCGAAACGTTTGGTTAACCAGCAACTATTTAACACTTTAAAGAGCCTTTTGAGCCTCATATTTAATTAAATAAAATCGATAACAGGAAAAGTTCTTAATGTCAATAACATCAGATTACTACAGGCGGGCTTCGGCTCTTATGCTTAAATGAATTACCGCTCGATCCGATGTTTCATAAATGTCTCATTTCGTTCTCTCCACTTTAAAACGTTATCTCGTTTGCAGCGTCCTAGATCGCGTTTCTTCGACGTCGGTGACCATGTCACATCTGATAGCTTATGATCCTGAGAAAGACCTGCTGCCTCTTATCCTGGCACACTGTAACTACTCTCTAGAGGTGGGACAGGAAACTCTAGTTCATTACGATTGGGCAGCATTGGAAAGGCAGCTCATTGACAGGTTTCTGAGGGGAAGACCTTTCGTTGAGTTTAAGGTAAGTTGTTAAAGAGATGGCGTGCACTGTCTGTGTTAGGAAATTACTTTTATTAAATGATCCTTTATAAACTCTGCTTTTGTCATTTGAGCTTAACTTCAACTAAGTAAGGGTGAATTTTGTTTTCTTTGTGTTCATTTTAGGACGAACGATNCTATTTGTCCTTTCAATCCCGATGCGATGTTCTGTTTATATCTCCATCGATGCAAATGAATCTTTGAGTAGTGGCGTGGGAATGATATGATCAGCTCGACGTCTAGATTTCAAAGATTAACACATGTGACTCGAAGCAGGCCTGTTCTGGCCTACCAATCATATCTACACCTTATGAGTGTAACAGAAAACATCCTGTGATATATATTAATCGATCAACATGTCATCGAGATCTCATTATCAAATTAAGTTACGTAAAAATAATATTTGAAATTTTTCTGAACCGTGTCCTCTCCTTGGAAATNAACATCCTGTGATATATATTAATCGATCAACATGTCATCGAGATCTCATCATCAAATTAAGTTACGTAAAAATAATATTTGAAATTTTTCTGAACCGTGTCCTCTCCTTGGAAATGTTTTGCCCATAAAAGTAATTTCGCAATAATCGCCCCTACCTACAAGCTCTGGAATTTAGCAGGATGAAAAAATCGATGGGAATGAGCAGAAACTCATTAAATGCGTGACACTATGCCGATAAATTAAGAAGGGCTAAGCCCGAAACGTTTGGTTAAACGTTTAAAGAGCCTTTTGAGTCTCATATTTAGTTTAATAAAATCGATAACATGAAAACATCAGGTTACTACAGGCGGGCTTCGGCTCTTATGCTTAAATGAATTACCGCTCGATCGATGTTTCATATATTTCTCATCTCGTTCTCTCCACTTTAAATCGTTACCTCGTTTGCAGCGCCCTAGATCGCGTTTCTTCGACGTCGGTGACCATGTCACATCTGATAGCTTATGATCCTGAGAAAGACCTGCTGCCTCTTATCCTGGCACACTGTAACTACTCTCTAGAGGTGGGACAGGAAACTCTAGTGCATTACGATTGGGCAGCATTGGAAAGGCAGCTCATCGACAGGTTTCTGAGGGGAAGACCTTTCGTTGAGTTTAAGGTAAGTGTTAAAGAGATGGCGTGCACTGTCTGTTTTGTTAGGAAATTACTTTTATTAAATGATAATAGATTTCTTTTATCCTTTATAAACTCTGCTTTTGTCATTTGAGCTTAACTTCAACTAAGTAAGGGTGAATTTTGTTTTCTCTGTGTTCATTTTAGGACGAACGATTTGCTTTCAGTCGAGACACACGTGACGATGCCGTGTTCGCTTCCCTTAATGAAAAAATTCCTCAGGTGAGAAGTACACAGTTTTCCACAAAAGGCTTGTTTGAATTTGATCTCATATTAACAAAAAATAAATTGTGGTGTATGTTTGTCCATCGTCCATGATAGAAGATGGAAAACGCCGATCGTTTTCATCGAAAACGGAAACTTTTGAAAACATCAGTGTTTGAAAACGAACCTCCTTCGATTAAGGGAGGATTTGTGGAAAGGGAGACGCAAGAAAACGCTCACCGGTGCAATTCTATGTTTGATTCGTTTCAGAACTTAACAACCTCGCTGTATTTTAGTGCACGAGTGATGCCTAATCCTTGACGTTTCAAGAGCTGATAATAATAATAATAATAATAATAATAATAATAATAATAATAATAATAATAATAATAATAACGGCAGTATGGACGGGTATATTTCGCCACGTTTCATGCTGTAACTGAGGTGGTTTCCTGCTGTTTATAATTTGGTTTAAGATGAAAAGGAGAATTCTGATTTGTTCCCTGAGAGGCTTAATTTCACAATTCGGATCGCTAAGTTGGACCGCTCACGAATTACTTTTGGCGAATTCCTTTTTCAAAACTTTTCACTATAGAAAAGATTTTGTGAAGTAGACACCCTTTTTTCTTCATATTTGGCGGACACTTTTTTGAGTTAAACTTTCATGAAAGCGACCTGAAAAGCATAACAGCCATCTAATAAATACTTCATTAGCTGGTGTGACATTCCATTAATTAATGTCACACCTGAATAGCTAAGCGTATTATACAACAAACTTGTATTGTATTGTATTGTATTATATTGTACTGTATTGTACTGTATTGTATTGTTTATTGTCACTGAAAAGCCCCATCAGGGGAGTGTCAATAACCTGTTGTTTTTTTTAAATTTACTTTATTGAGCTTGTTCGGTCCTTATTGGAGAATATCGGTTTTATCTTTTTTTTTTTTTTTTTTTT